GAAAACTAGGATAATTTATCAAAGAATTTAAGGCGGACTTTAGAAGAAACAGAGCTGTAAGAAAGACTAGTATCAATCGATAATTGTTGACTAGCAATTGTGAATCGTTGAAAAGCAAGTGTTAATCTGATTTGTCAAACGCCTACCGAGATTAAGAGATAATCATTTACCGGGGATGGACAAGCAACAGAAGATAGGATCCAAGAGTTTCAATCTGTTATTAAAAGAATAAAACTTTGTAAAGGCAATAAAGCGGTAATCGGATACAAACGAAGCAAAAATACGAGACAGGAGGCAATTGTAGTTAGAACATAGAATACCAGTCAATATGTGATTAAAACAAGTCATCGGATAAAGAATAAAAGAGAAAGGGAAGTATGTTATTTGTAGAATGGTGGGTCTAAGTCTAACTTATGTGGATGAGTGTTGTAATATTCAGATGAATAATACGTTACACGAAAAATGTCTTATTCAAATTAGAAGAATATTAATATTATTATGTAAATGAGGATTAAAGTAAAGATATATATTTGAGATTTTATGAATATTATAATACTTTTCAATTTTTGTTTTATTTTAATTTTTATAAATTTTTAATATATCGTTTATAATGTTAATTTTGTATATTTTTACTCTATAATTTATTATTTTATAATTGACGTAGAGGAATAAAGGAAAATATAAATTTTGTTATTTTGGTTTCGATTTTCATACTCTTCCTTATTTAATCCATTATCTTTTTTTATTTAGATTAAACTATGTTTTTTATCCTCTCCCAAACCTTTCAATTCTAACAAAAATGAAGAGGCTACCAATGATGGTTGATTATAATATTCATTTGATTTTTGTTTTTTATCGCAAAAATTGTCACCCAAGATTTTTACCTTGAAAAGGGAGACATGTTATATTATTACTATTTTTATATAAACCAGTAGAAAGCCCGTCAAAAATGACGGGGAATGAGATTTTTATTTATTTTTTGCGATAGATGTCATGCCAGGTTCAAGCTCACAATATTAGGAAGCATCCAAGATCTTATAATTTAAAAATAGTTTATCAAGCCCAGCTCAACCCTTAATAATTTGTAAAAGATATTCCCAAGTCAGGTGCAAGCTAATATTAATTTTAAGGTTCTAAGCCCAGTCCTACCCATTATAATTTTGAAAATTTTTTCCCGCCTCGGAGATAGTTAAATTTTAAATATCATCACATGAACGGGAAATATCTGATTTACTAATTAGTCTAATAAAGAAAAAAAAACAGGTAAATTCCGTATTAAGGGAAACTGGGAAGGCCTGGGCAACCACTTATTAGAGAATCATGACAAATAAAATAAAAATAACCGACTCTTATACTTTTTTGTAATATGATCAATTAAAATTATATCTAAAAATTTTGTTGTTTATTTTATAAGGTTATTGTTGTTTTTCAGATAAATTTAATGTATGTCTTGCATTTCTGAAATTATTTGTCAAAGAATTTGATAAGGGATATATATTTTTTTATGTTAAGTAAAAAAAAATGCTGTCTATTTAAATTACAAAAATGCCATTAAACACTAATGAAACTTATATGCAAATTATTTATATATTTTTTATGATATTTTTTTTTATTGACATATAAATTTAGGATAATTTTTTAAAAAAATAATAAGGAATATTTATTATGTATTTGATAAAATTAAGAGCAAATCCTTGTTGACATTTTAATTTTTGATGGAAAAAGTGACAAAATAAATCTGGGCAATTAATGTATAATTTTATATCATTTAGGGTTGTAGATGGAAGTAATGACGGATTACCAAAGCAGTGTACAAAACACAATACGTCCTGATAAATATGATATGCCTATGAACGCAAAACGATATTTCTGTCAATGTCAGCATTGGTAACCCCCTCTAAAATAGAATCATGAACGACAATGTTAACTAAACCATAAAACGGTAGTAAGTATTGTTATAGGCCACGACAGAACTACTGCATATTTTTCCATTAATAAAGTTGATGAAATTGGCTGTACTTACATTCAAGTTTTAACACGCAAAACGATATTTCTGTCAATGTCAGAATTGGTATCTCCTTCTAAAATAGAATCATGAACGACAATGTTAAACCATAAAACTATTGTTATAAAGGTCACGACAGAAATACTGCATATTTTTCCATTAATAAAGTTGATGAAATTGGCCGTGCTGTACATTCAAGTTTGAACATTCCTCTAAATATTCATGAAAGTTTCTCAGAGAATCGGATAAAGTAATATTTATATTAACTCCTAGTGAAGTGAATGATCGTACAGAATTAAATGTTTATATTTGTTAAAAAATAGGCGGAGGTGGCATAGGGATTGTGGTAGTGGTGATAGAAATATCATTTGGAGAAATGGGTGAAAATAAAATAAACATAGATATAAAACATAAGATAAAAAAAAATAAACCTCCAGATGAGTTCATTTCAAGCATAGTTCTTTATTATTTTGTCTACCAGTAAAACTCTAGAACGGGTAAGGCGTTTGTTTAATCGTCATTATTTTCTTTGCTTATCTTTAATAATCGATTCATCATGTTTTGTAGCAATGTGAGGGATTAGGGTTAGCCTAGACAAATAAAGAAATCAGGCAAAAATATAAATAAACTATTGTTGAAATTAAACAAACATGAAAATAATGTAAACCAGTAGATGGGTCAATTAGATGCATATATCTAGTAGTTGGAGGGCTATCATCAAAAAATTTTTTTGGGGGACTTATCAAGCCTATTATGATATTCTAAAGGTTTATTTTGCATTTGTTTATTATTAATGGCTGATATATCAATATTTTAACAATTATAAAGAGGAAATAAGATGGGGATAGTTTTCTAAAGTAAAAAAAAATAATTATCAAGTTAATTTTATAAGGTAGGAATAAAATTAAATACCATTCGGAGACCAATTGGCAAACTTAAAAAAAAAATAGGAACCTTGTGAATAGGTATAGAATAATTTAAATAATATATAAATACCGTAATATGTATTTTTTTGGAATAAATATAAAATCCTAAAAATAGAAACCCCCGTTTAGTATTTTTTATTGAAATAAAAAGGAGTATTGTTAAAAAAGGTAGGAACCTTAAGAATAAATACATAATTTACAAAAAGGAAAGGTGTATACACTTTTAAAATTAATTATATTTTATTTTTAAAACCTGTATGTTTTATGCTGCATTTAGTTTTGTAATAATGCAGTTTTATGAAATATTTAATGATAAATCGATAATATCAAACATTATTTTTTACTAGGAATATGCGGAAAAGACTTTTGTTAAAGATGATGTCGAGGATATCTGTAAGTTTTATCAAGAAATGTCTGTTTTATTTATATTGTTGATAATATCGATTTTCGTTTTTATTTTGTAACATAAAACTAACTTCTATTTTTTTATTTCTTCAACTTAAACTTAGTTTCAATTTTTCATATCCTAAGGTTATATTGTATAATTTTAAAAATTTTTTATATTATTACTTCTGATGGTTCAAATAATATACATTAATTATTTTGGGTTAATGCAATTTAACTAACACGTTAATATTATAACTTAATTTGATACGTAATTTTTTATATGACAATGTGTTTTTTCTCAATTAGATCATTTTTTGAGCGCTTTTTTAAAAATTTCTTATGATATGCATAAGATGTTGCTGTTAGCCTTTGAGCATTTATAATTTATAAAATCTATAAAACTAATATAAATTGAATTAAGTTCAAAAGTTCATGGCAAAATTGTCCGAAATTCATATGGTAGGTATTCCAAACATGATGAAATACATTTCCAGTAAAATCAAATTTTTAAATTTAAAAAACGCACTCAAAAAAGGATTTAAAGTTGAAAAAATAACATATTGTTGCTAATATATATAAAGAACAAATTTTTATATTGAAAGGACTACTTTTCAATAAAACATAGTTTAACAATAACTAAATATATAATGAAATCTAGCTCGTTGATTCTGAAAATATGATTTTTTATATTATAATTAATTTTATGCGTTCATTCTTAAATACAATTTCATATATAATAATAAAAAGATTAGACAATGAAGAAACATGCTAATGAATCTAATAAATATTTAATGAATATAAGGATATTCAAAATAATTTTATAATACAAAAATCGATCATTAAATTAAAGTTTAAAAATTTCATAAAAAAATAAATTCAGAAATTCAAATTTTATCAAAAGGAGATTATAGTTAAAATAATATTAACTTAGTTATTTAATGTAAAATTCACATAAATGAAATTTTTAAAATAACAAAATCTAACTCCTACTATAGTAATATCATGTCAAAACAGTTAAGAGGTGCTGAAAAATTACGTGGACCAAATTCAGGAAAGGAACCCTGAGCCAGCTAAAAATTTAGGAAAGGGTGATGATATATAATATAGATTTATTTCGTTTTTTATAAATATTATAAATTGGCAAGAAATGTATTTTATTTTTATCATTATTTATTTTCTGCAAAAAATGATGATTATTATTATCATTTTTTTCTTTGATAATTGCTAATTCATAAAATGAAAAATATACAGTAATACTAACCAATATCTGTGTTTTTTATGATCTGGCCAATTTTATTTGCCAAAATGAATTTGATATTGGAAACGAATCCCCGCAACGTGTCATCAAAATATCACACTGCTTAACAACTATAAGTAATAAATTTGATTTTCATGGGGGGGGGGATCCGCATCAAATTCGTTTTTATTCCATTTTTTTAGAAGAGCACAAGCCTGAGTGATTAAAGTTTTCGCTATAAATAGCTCAATTGTTATAATAATAAGTTATTTTTGCATGGGGCACTCACTCTAAACTTCAAATAAAGTAAATATAATATCACCATTTCAAGGCTATTTGATATATTATTCTTTAATTATTTTTTATATGAATAAATTAAAATTATATATTAGATTTATATATTAATATATCTACAATTTATATAAAACAAAAATAAAGTTAGGTATTAATAAGTACAATTAGATTCATATTACAATGATTTTATCACTAAAGCAACAATAAGAATTTAAATATTATAATGAGTTCTCACTAGAAGTCGTGGTATAATATTAAACATTTTAAAAATCCATCCGTAGGAGTTAAAAAAAACGAGTCTATGACATTTAGTGAGTAATATCATATTTTATAAAGTAAATAAAATTAGAATCTCTAATACCATTTAAAATCAATTCTTAATCAATTACGGATTTTTCAAATTACAAGTATTTGCAAACTTTAAAAAATAAATTTATAAATAATAATAATAATAATGCATTATTCAGTTCAGAGTATATGATGCGAATAAAAAAAATCTGACCTTTTTTTATGATTGAGATTTAAAACATAATGATTGTATTAAAATTTTAAAAGTCGAGTTTCATTCATAGAGCGCAACAGAAAGAGCGTTAAAAAGCAAACTTTATATAATTACAAATAATAAAGTTTTTGGTAATTTCCTATGGAATCGCATTGACAAAATTATTATCCAGTGTATGGCTAGTTTCGATATCTTTGTACATATGGTAATTCCACATTCTTTTGAATTCCCCCCTGATTAAAGCGGTTATGGCTGTTGGTCCCAGTGTAAAAGGAACTAAGTAAAGCAGAGCAGGTTGGCCTTGTTTCATCAAAAATAGTGCTAAGTAAGTGGCAGCTAAACCAAAAACGTATCCTAAGTATAATAAAAAATGTATGATAAATTCGTATACAATAATACTACATTTATATTTTATAATATGTATGACTAATAATTCAGGCTTTAATATTTTTAATTTTCTTTGTTTAACTTTCTTTATTTGATTTTTAAACGTATTATTTTATACCTAATGATACAATGACTGAGTATAGGTGTTTTGGGCGTCTTTTGATTTTGACCATGTCAAAAAAGAAACAAAAAGCGACGAGTAAGCCTTAAAACATAAAATATATTTGGGAATTTTTATTTTTTTATTATAATGTAAAAAAATATACATTTTTTATACTGATGTCATCAGTCAATAAGTGATATTATATTATAAAACTAAAGTCTGAGTTTAAATCCAACTTGAATTCAATTCCAAAACGTTTTAAGTATAATGCTCTCAAGTCAAAATAAAGAGGAAATTATTTTTTATCGGAGAAATGAATTAACGTCCAACGCTCAATAGAAATTCAGATGAATCACGTAATGGTAATGGTGCTTTTCTATTTTTGAGCCTTAACCAACATAATTTACCGTCAAATACTCAAAGAAATAGTCGACCAGTGTTATTAAAATAGCGCGCTACTTTTTTCAGTAGCGGTAGCTTTAGCGGGCTACTAATTTGCTCTACTTCGCTACTTTCAATTTTACATAATAAATACAATTAAAAATTATTAAAATATATTTTTTATTAAATCTAAAATTATAATCCTTTTATTTAATTAATTTTGAAATTTATATATAAAAATATACATTATAAATCTAGTTAGCATTATAAATCTAGTTATTAAAAATGTGTGAGATTGTTGAAGATAGCGAAATTTTTTTTCCCAAAATTCAAAAAATACTTGAATCTTGAAGAAAAAATTATTACTGGATTTCGGTTTCGATGCAAGATGTGTCGCAAAATTCTCAAATCATACAAGCAGCTTTAATTTGAAAAAACATTTAAAGGTAATATATTAAACAAATTTAATATCAATGTGTAGGCAAATCCTTAATTTTTAAAATAAATTTAAGACCAATCATTTTTTTTATATATTCATAAATTTTATCTAAATTATTTAAAACATTTTAAAATAGTTATTTCAATCATTTTTATGTACTTATCTCCTACATAATTTTTATTCTAAGTATTACTGTTATAATTTTAGACTGTTCACACCTCAAATTATAAAGACATTGAAAAATATCTCAAAAGTTTTGGGGTAATGGAAGAAGATACATATCAAATTTAATTCAAACAAAATTAAGCAATTTGGATTCATCAACACTAGGTGTATCTCAAAAATTGGCTGACAAAGTCATAATGAACTTTATAATAGATACTGTTCAACCATTATATTCTTGGTGGATAATGGTTCTTTTATAAAGATGATAAACACTTTTTCTCCACTTACCAAGATATTTTGCCGGCAGACATTGATGGCAAGAATTTTGGATAGCTTTAAAGAAATGAAAGAATCTTTAATATTAAATCTATCAGATGTCTCCTAAATCTGTACAACAGCAGATTGCTGGACGCACAATATAAGGTAAAAATGTTTATTTTCTGTTTTATAATATGATATTCATATTTTTAATTTTTAGAGCTTATTTAGGAGTGACTGCACATTAGATTGATCCAAAAAATCTAAAACGAAAATCTATAGCAATATAGCTCTAAAATTGGCTGTCAGAGTTATGACATTCTAGCAAATATTATTTCAGAAATCCATATGTCTTACAAAATTCAGAACAAGGTTTGTAAGATGATTACATATAATGGGTCTAATTTCCTGAAGGCTTTCAGGTTTTAAATTTATTATAATTTTTTTATAATATGATATAAATATAGAATATTTGGTAAAGATAATAACAATACTTGTTCATGACAACGAAATGTTATTATTATTAAAGTGCAATAATAAATAAATTATATATATGTAACAAATTATAGTAATATTTTTATACCAATATTTTATTTGTGGAAATAAAGTTACGTAAAAAATATTTTTTAAAAAAACCAAAATAGCGTAAAAAAGTAGCTATTAGCGCGCTACTCACTTGAAAACGATAGCGGTATCGATAGCGCGCCACTTTTAAAAGTAGCGTTTAACAACACTGTAGTAGACCCAAACTGTTTTAAGAAATCTTGCATTTTAGATTAATGGTTGTTGAAAATAATTATTATAAATATCAAAGGGGAAATTAGGTACTAAAAAAGAAAGCATAATAAAAAATTAACATTTTATCTGGTGTATTGGATTCCCAGCGACATAATTAAAAATCTTATTTTGTTATGATTTTCACCTGGCATAACGACGTCTCCGTATCCAATATAAGAAACGTGAGAAGTTATTTCGTACTCCAATTCTTCTACACAGGGAAATTTGGGATCCTTCATCGTACGTAAAAGTATCACATTTATGTAAGGCATTTTGAAGGCTAGTGGAATCTATATTAGGAGATATACGTGGTATAAATTGAATCAAAATAATAAATTTGGCTCTGAAAGGGGCATAAACCGACATGTGCCTTGATTTTTTAATCAGAAGGCTTGCAGTAAAAATTTTGTAGGGCCAGGCCCACATTTAAAATAAATCACCAAGCCCGACCCGATTCCCCATTAGTTTCAAAAATTTTGCCTAAGCTCGGCCCATCAAATTATTCTATATATAAAAATGCTGAAATACTAATGGAAATATAATATTTTATTTAGTAATTATATAAAAGAATTTCATCTTATATTTTTAAATTATCATTTAAGAATAATATATTATCAACAATTTTGCTTTTTAAATTTGTCCTTCACTACTCAATAATCCTTCTAATGGGGCTGAAATTGTGTTCACTGAAAACATTTGATGTTGGAATAGCATGGCTAATCTTGCCAAGGTAAAGAAAATAATTATGCTTTTTCCACCAATCTATTGATTTTAGCTGTACAAAATATATCTAAAAATTGAATTTATTTTTGGAAAATAAAAAATTATTTCAGTTTAAATAATCGTTTTGTTTGTTATACTGAAATTTATTATTGTTAGGAGAAGAAAATTGTAATATATTTTAAGGTAGCAACTGTTGTTTTGGACAAAAAAGATGAAGAGTTTAGAAGCCGAGTTTAATGTCAACAGTAGAATAAGGTTACTGGTAAATAATATTCATAAATTATAATGATTTGTTATATTTGTCCTATTGTCCTTAAAATAAGCTAAATTTAAATGAAAAAAATAGGCCAGACCCACTATAAAATATAATATTAGGCATGAAGACTGGCGCAGCCCATGAAGATATCTGGAGGGGGGGGGCGAAAGCGAAATTTATTTTCCTATTTCGATATCGTATTGGTTTGGCATCTCCTTTAAAATTTTATTTTACTTAGTCCAATAATTAAACATTTAAAAATCGAATAAGTTCGCGTTCAAAATTTATTTACAAAAGTGGAAGTTTATTTATTATTTGTAAAATTTGATGGCCATATGTTTTGCGAAAATTACTTATACCTTACTTTTATTTTATTTTGCAATGAAGTGATTACTGAGCGTAACTATCTAAATATTAATATTGCCCACTTGTTTCTTACCGTTTTAGTTGTATGAGGTCGAAAACGAAAAATTTAAAAAAGCAAAAAATTGAAATATTCTTTGTATATTATTTAAATAGTATTTATAATGATATTGATGAGTTTGGAAGGTAAATATTTCAATTGAGTTTATTTTTTTAAAGTTGATAAAAATGGGGGAGACCTTAAATAATTCCAATTTGGAAATGTTAATTGGATATATTTAAGAAATATCTTTTGTTTTTAGCGATTTTTAAAAATTTCAATTGGAATATATGTGAGCTTTGCCTTCCTTCGCATTAATAAATATTATTTTCGAGAATATAATAAATATTCCCAATTTTTAGCATTTTCGAACTGGAACCTATTATAAAAAAATCATATGTAAAATATTTCATATGCATTTCACGGGAAAATTTAATTACTCGGGAAAAATATAATTATCCGGAAAAAACGCCATTTTTATAAGCTAAATAATATATTAAAATTGTAAGAAAATCAAGATAGCGGAAAAAAATTTAACAAAATTTAAAACAATAGTTTAAGAAAGTAAATATTAAAATTTACCCTTTTTAAAAAAAGATAAACTAATTCTAAACATATCTGTGTAACACTAACTCTAAGTTATCTTCCACGCTATCCCGTCCGTAAATAATTTCGATTAAATTAACTGATTATAAAAAGTAACCCCAAAACATTCTTGATTAATCCTACCCCTATATCATTTTAATTCCCTAGAATTTGCTTCAATAGTAGATGATTATTTATGCCCACCCTCCATCTAGTTATGTCACTGCTCTATAAGAAATTTTAAAAAACGGGTCAAGCCAGTCTTGGACTTAAAAAATATTTAACTTTATAAAAATATTTAAACTATATTATTCGATTAAACATTTTGGACAGGGCTTAGGCCGAAAAAAATGAATTTGGAGGGTCACCATGGATATACAATTATAGCGTTTTTTATACATGCAAATGATGATTTAAAAATGTGGTAAAAAATATTTAAAAAATGGATAGTCACATAAACAATTGTGCTCTCAAATTAGATTAAATCAATAACAATTTAAAAAACTTGTTCGGCGGTTGATCTAGAATTTGGTTCATCTTTATTCGAATTAATCGGTGGGTAATGACTATTTTCAGTAAAGTTTGGAGATAAGATTTTTTCCGATATCTTAAGAAGTGATGACTTATTATGTAACAAAACAATGAAATATATATTTTTTTTAAATCATTCGATGTATAATATAATATTCTCCCACTTATTGATAAATCAATATATAGATTAGTAGGCTTATTTAATAGGAAAGTAAATATTCTTGTAATAAGAAAATTGTAATTCTTCAAGTAAGAAATGGTATTTTAAAATATATTACCAAATCGACATTGTCCGAACTATGAAAGCTGTCTTTTCCACCTAAAATATCTATCATTATGCTAGTCTTTGACTATATTTAATGAAAATACATTATCATAAATTGTTATAATACTAAAACCAATTATATTATATTCGTAATTTGTTAAATTATTTCATACTTTAGTCAGGAATGGTGTTATGAAAACGAAAAAAATATCGAAAATGAATAGCAGACTCAAGAGTAAAGTACCAATCTGTAATGATATATTTTTTTTAAATATAAGATTGTAAATAGTTTGGAACCTGGACGAAAAAGGATTATGTATCCGGGTTTAAATATGTTTAAGAAAGTGGTAAAGTGGGTTCTGGTTCCTATAAATAAGAGTCCAAGTTCTGGTATCGATTCATGGATTTTTCCTGAGTTCCAGGTTATGATTCCAAACTCTGGTTGTAATACAATTTATTCTCGTCCTTATTTTTACATTCCTTATGTGATTTCAATCACGAGAAAGTAGAGGACTGCAAAACAGAGCTGAAAAAAATTTATCAAAGAATTTAGATTGTGTCAGTCCTAGAGACCTTCATGGGCCGGGCTTGGGCCTAATTATAAATTTTCTAGCGGGCCTGGGCCAGACTTGGGTTCGTTGGAAATTTTTGCAATAGGGCTTGGGCCTAAATTTTTAAATTCAAATTTAGCTTATTTTAAGGATATTTAATAGGACTAATATAACAAATCATTCTGATTTTATTAGTGTTATTTATCAAATTTCCTATACATCTTGGGAGAGTATATATTTTTTAAATCGGAAATTGGTATAATTTTACTTAACTTAACACAACGACCTGGGCACGAAACAGCGAAAAAAGAAACAGCGAAAATCAGGGAATATTCCCAAAAATGTTCCCAAAGATGGCCAACATTTTCGATATGACATATATTTTCCCAAGTTAGCGTCAAATTCAAAGCAAAATCCCAACAGTAGCAGAAAATTTAAAAACAATTGTTAGACGTAGACAAATAGATATTCAAGTAAACTTTTTATAATAATTGAAAATAAAATTTTAATTAGAAAACTCAAAAAGGACATAATTTCATAAACTATAAAGGTTATGAATATATACACCATAAAAAATCATAAGTATGAAACATGATATATCCTGCAAATCAAATCAAGGTACATAAATAAAATAATCAAATTATTGCAAAAAGATTTTCTTTTAGAATTTTATATTTATTGTAATAAATGTAATTTAGATGCAAGTTTAATTGAAAATTGCAAATAATGTATAATATTCCTAACAATTAATCAAATAAATCTATCCATACAATTACAATGTAAATATTCCATTCACTTTTAATTTACATATTATTTATAAATATTGTTGAGATGTATATTTTATATGAATTTTTAATAAAGTATTTATTCTGTTTCTATATGGTTGAGTTATTATAATATTATATATAATCCAGTGCAAATATAAATGATATCCTTCTATGGAAAGTATAAATAGTTAAGATAAATTGTGAATGTAAATGAGTTATTATTTAAAATATAAATAATTAAAAAACCCTTCATTTAAAATGAGTGAATTTTTATAAGATAGAAAGTGCTTGGCATGCTTTTAAATTAAATTTAAAAAGATTAGTAAATTATCCATTAACCCTTCAATACTCTGGTGATTATTTTTATCATTTATTCTGATTTTCACATATTCTGAAAGTAAGTATAATAAAATTTATAATGTAATATCATTTTTCATATACCATAATAAAAATGTTGATACAAATGATACAAGAAATCCTGAAATTATAATATTTTATAATATGACTAAAGGTAGGTTAGATATGGTGTATTGAATGACAAAAAATGATACAATTTTAAGCAGGTCTTACACACTTCTAAACATAATATCAATTAATTCACATGATATAGCAAACATAAAAATATCCATTTTAAGAAGTAATTATATATATAAAATATCAATGGAACTTATTAAACCATATTTAGAAGTACAACAAAAATGATCAGATTATCCTGACTTTTGAAGGAATCTATATGCAATCAATGACATATAATTTATACCAAAATATTAAATACAAAAGGAGATATATACAAAGGGAGATATATATTTGAAAATTAATTACTGTATGCTATGTATAATTTTGGTAGATATTTAGCAATATTATTGTATTATAAATGGTCTTGCTATGATAAAAATATTGAATATTGTTTTACATAAATATATTTTATATTAGGCACATTAGGCAATAATTTTGGAAAAAAAATTAATACATATTTATTGCTCTAGATTAAATAATTTTATATAAATCATTTTTATAATATCTTTAAAAAATTAATATTAATCATAATATATTTAATTAAAAATATAATAAATATTTACTATATCAAAATATATAAGAATAAGATTATTATTAATATTTTAACAATATATATATTATTTAAATTTATGACTTTTTTAGTGGAGTCATACATAAATGGGAACATTTTTTATTTTTCGCTATTTTGGTTTTCGCTGTTTCGTCCAAATTCAACACAACTGGTTTAGAGTGTATAACTAGTATAGGTAATAAATATTATTTATATTTTGAGGAAAATTACATAACATACTCTTTTTTCTGAACTAATTTATTTTTTTATATATGGGATGGGTATTATATGACTTTCTCCTTTGTAATAAATTGTAGTATTTTTAATTTTTTTTTAGATATTGAATAAAAATCAAGAAATAGTTAAAAAATTACATTCTCAAGAATACAAATTATTAGCAAACAACTCATCGAAGAGCAAGGTCTGGGATTCTTTTAGTTAATAGACAATCATAATAATAAAATCGGATATGTCCAATGTAAAAGATGCCAAGACATACTTTCATATTCAAATAAAGTAGGATCGTCCCATTTATCAAGACATAAATGTAAACCAAATCCTATAATTAAATTATCTTCTTTTTATCCAATTAAAAATGATAAAACATCATATACAAATGAAAAAAAGGAAGTTATCAATAGATGTGTAAAATTTTGTGCTGTGGATATTCGCCCATTTCAATGTATAGCTGGTAAAGGCTTTAAACATTTAGCACAATATTTTATTGAAGTTGGTTCAAAGAAGGGTTTGATTGATATTGAAAATATTTTGCCAAGTCCTATAACTATATCAAGGCATATGAATGATATTTCTCAAAATTTGCACAAAAAAATATTCCCAGAAGTATAAAATGCTTTAATAAATTCTTTTTGTAGTTCAACAACGATTTATACACAGATGACTTCAAAAAGTACACATATATAACATTAACTCTTCACTACATAATTAAATGGAAATTAATAAAACGTGTTTTGTTTACTTCTCTTTTTTTAGAAGATAAAAAAACAAGTGAAAATATACACAAAGAACTTGTTTCTAATTTTGCTAAACTTGGATATGCTTCTGATGCATTTTATAAAATCACATTCATTACTGATCAAGGTAGCAATTTGATACAGGCTTTAGAACCATATAAACGGTTAAACTGTTCTGCTCATCTCATTAACACTATTCTAAGAAATACTTTTTCTCCAAAATATATGCAAATATCTACACCCTTATTATATAACCTTATTCTTCAATGTAAATCACTAACAAGATTTTTTAAGCAAAGTGGATTAAATAAGAGTTTATCAAAGACTGTTTACCAAGATATCTTAACAAGGTGGGATTCGAAATTAAAAATGTTTAAAAGTATTTATGAACAATATGAAGAAATTTTAGATTGATTACAGAAAAGAAATATGGAGGATAAGCTTAATTCTATTGATAAAAATGGGTTGAAATCATTAATAGACATGTTGACCCCATATGATCAGGGAAGTCCTACATTATTTAAAGTTTTATTAATTTATAAAACATTGGAAAAGTTACCAGTGTCTGATATTTTATACGAAGCATATCAAAATAATAGTGAAATTAGAAAGTTAAAATTAAGAGCAAAGGAATTTTTAATATCAAAATTCCAAATAGATATTTTACACAAAATCGCTACATTTTTAAATCCTAAATTCCGCCAGTTAAAAATGCTTACTTTGGAAGAAGCACTTGAAGTAAAAAATAGTACAAGGGTCTTAATGATTTATTATTCAGATCATCATCCAATTCCTATATATGATCTAGATGAAGCAAATATCCATAGAGCTTCAAGTAACTTATATTTTATAAATATATTAATCTATATAATATTTTTAGATACTTCAGATCTGGATGAAGTGCATGTGCATATTCCTATTCCTACTTCGAGGATTACTAGAGCTACCAGTAATTTATTCTTTATAAATCTTTTTAGCTATATAATATTTTTAGCTTCATCCTCATTATTGGATATGTCTTCATGGGAGGATGATACAATACTTCATAATGAGACGGATGCTGATGAGATTCATTTATATATGGATATTCAGCTAAATGAAGAGGATATCAACTATGACTGCATCCTAGATTGCCAAAAAAATTCATGCAATTCCAGCATCTAATGTTTCGAGTGAACGGAATTTCAGTACTATTAGAAGGGTTATTGAAGAAAGAAGAACAAATTTAAATAACGAAATTGTAGATAATATATTATTTTTAAATGATAATTTGAAAATATAAATTAAAATTTTGTTTATATCATTTATTAATATTATATATATATTATTACTAAATAAAATTACTTCAGCATAAGTTAAGTATACATAAAATAATTTTATGGGCTTGGGAAATTTTTTAAATATTATAGCGGGCTTGGGAATTTTTTTAAATATTAAAAACGGGCGGGGCCTGGGTTTAAAATTTTTTTTACGATGGGCCTGGGCCGGGGTTGGTCCTAAAATCTAGGCCCATGAAGGTCTCTAGTCAGACCCTATACTAAAAAAAATATATTTGAGCAGGAAAAGGGACCTTGAGCTGCTCAAAAATTCTTAACCCAAATTTTTTCCCCAATCTAGGGCACAATTACAATCCAGAGGCATCTTAAACTATTGAATTTTTCTGGCCAGTCCGAGCCATTGGACCGGTTTTACAGACTTAAAATAAAATTATTTTTTTAAAATATAATATTCATTTTTCCTAGTTTAATAGTGAGTTAAATGCCCTATGACTAAATAATCAAATACCGATAATATTCTTTACACATTTATTTACTACACCATAAAATAGGGTGGGAGGAGGAAATTAAGATAAATGTTGTATGAAACTTTTAAATTAGGAATGTGAACGGTCGTTAGAATATAAAGACAAAGGGAGGCTCCCATTATATCCTGAAGTATGAAAGCGTTAAATTCGTGTCGATGAACGAGCCAAAATATGCAAATCGCGAGGCTGAGGACTAAGCACAATAAATGTTTAATCGTGAACAATTCTCGGCATAAGAATTTAAAAGTTTCGCAGATGCCATTTTTCACTTTGACGAATGTTGTGTCAAAGTAATTTTGCTTCTTCTTATTATTGTCATGGGCAGTCATGGTAGGGGTAGGGTTTGAGTTGGTGACATTAGTTTTATCAATATTGTCATTATCGGCAATGGTGATATGCGAAGAATTCTTATTCTGGGAGTTAGGTTGGTTTAGACTGTAATAATTGATGTTAGTAGAAGCCAGTGGGGATGACGGTAGAGGCGTCTCCGATAGAAATCGAAAATTGCAAAAGGAGAGAAGACTAAATGATTATGTATTTTTTTTAAATGGGAAGTTTTAATAAGCTTTATCGCGTCTAAAGCCGTATTTATAGTAAACGGGATTGACTGGGTGTAACAAGGGATCGAGTTTATAAAATTTTTGAATGATATCCAATTTTTTTATCATAGATAGCATTAATTTTATCTTAATTTGAATCAATATGAAGATTTAAGAATAAAGAACAAAATCAGCTTTACATGGTGTCGCATCACGTTAATGTGGCTTAATAATAAGAGCTATCGAATTTATAAAATATAATAGATTAATAATTGCCTGATTATTATTTGAAAAATAAAAAATATATAACCTGAAATCTCTGAAGGGTAAAAATCTGTGACTCAAGAATCGAAATTGAGAATATAACGCGATGATAGAGTACAGGCAAAATACATAGATCAAGTAGTACACTAAATATTACATAATATAATAGTGAGAAGAAAAATATGACATTTGTTTCATTACAATCTGAACCGAGAACAAAGTTATATGAATATAGAGCTAAATATAAGTAATTTAATTTTAGAATACAATAAAGCCCCATATGACGATAACTCGAAGGGCGGTTTATTGCTAGAGCCATGCAATTTGTCTCAAAGTCGAGCCTAAATTTTTTTAAATATTTTGGCCCGGCTGGGCTCGGTCTTGAATAATATAAATAAAATTTAAAATATAACATGGAAAATTATGTTTTCTCTTGTTTTATCAAAATAAAATTTATCTATGATTAAGAAAAACAATTAGTCATTTTAATTTCTTTTATCTTCAAAAAATGCGTTTAATTTTTCTAATTAAAATTTTCAGGTGGGGCATCATAAAAATTAAGGCTCGGGCCTAAAAATTAAAAAATATTTGAACCGGGCTTTAAAATAATTTTTTTTTTTACCTATTTAAAAAAAATAAAAAGTATTTTTAATAATGAATTAGCATACTTAAAAATTTATTTAACTTTTAATAATTTTCTATTAAATTATTATTCTTAGTGACATATTAATATTCTTAGGTGAGAGGGTGATGAGGTGGGGGGGGGGGGTTAATGTAAGGAGAATAAGCTCAAAATGATATTTACAAATTAAGGCGATTTTCTGAATGGGGGAACACCAAAAAATTAAATATCCATCTTTATTATGGAGGAAGTGAATAAGTGGATGGTTTAACTGAATTTTTAATTTAATACAAAAAATCATTATTCAAACCGGCATATTTGTAGAAATACCAAATGAGAGTGAGAAAGATGCACATGAAGACGACCATAAATATAACGTTGGCTACCGAAAATGAGTCCCTGTCAGCCTGGTCTCTGAGCTTAGATTTATTGTCAAGCTTAGATTTTACACTCTGGGACCTGTCGACTCGGTCGAAATCAATATTAGCGGGTGATGCAACGTTTGTAGAACTCGTGGAGTTAACCTCATATATCCTCATTGTAGTGGCGTTTTCGTTCAGCGTCTTAAGTCTGATTAAAAAGAATGAAGGAGGGAGGATAAATTTAATTTATTAACTTATAAAAGTAGTCAACGAGATTTCCGAAAATATAACGGTTCGGAAATTATTTTATCAAATTTCTAAAAAAAATTGTTTGAAATCTCAAAGAATTTCAACAATTAGCTAGAGGATTTGCTGCAACAATAAAGTTGAGATTGAGATTAATATCTTTCAGTATCGTGCCTATCCTGGTATAGGCAAGTATCGGTATGACCGATATTTTAAATTTTTAAAGATAAGATGGGCTATCAAATCTTTCAACTCTCTAAAGGTTAGTTGATAAACTTTTAGATAATTTATGCACAAATATTTTTATAATTTACAGTAAAAAGTTATTAGTTTTTTTGGCTTTATTTAATAAAATAATTTTAAAAAATTGCCAATCTCGTGTTTCCTTGATTTTATTTTCAGATTGATATTTAATTTTTTTAAAAAAAATATTTTTTTTACCTATATGTTTTAGTGGCCGGCGCTTTTCTAAAAAATGAAGCATCATAAGTTAAAACTTTTTTTATTTAATATGCCTTACTATTACAGTGCTTAGACCCGATAGTACAACGGTGTCGGTATCGGCAAAAAAAAGTAGTTTAGGTACATTTCTGATCAATATAATGGGATCGTTTATAAAATTATAATTAGTATGATTATCAAACACTCATCCGTAAAATGCAGTTATTATAAAATTTACAAATGGCATGAAACTATAAGCATATTCTATAAAACCTCTTATAGTAGTCTCTACCTCCAAGATAGCCACCGAATATACATATGCATATGACGATCAAGGCTAAAATAATAGGGCCCATATCGTAATATATGTTGAGAGGATTAAAGCGAATTTGACCTAATACACGGGATGCTTTACTTTTATCCGTTTTGTTTGGCTTGTCACTAATGGCGGAAGTGTTGTATTCACTATTTAGTAGGGTTTCCTAGAGTAATCCCCATTTTAATTTAATAAATAGAATAAACAAGATTATTAATTAAACCTTTTTTTAAAAAAAAATCCAAGGCAGCTCTCCTTGAATTCTAAAAATTATTTGTATAACCGTTGGCCCCGAACCTTTATTAAAATAAAAAACAATAAAACCTCGACATACATTTCCTATAATTATATGATAAGGAAAGCTCATTCATTTAAATTTATTTAAAGGGAAAATTTCGTGATTAAAATAAACATTTTTAATTTTAGTACGTTGTATATTTTAGATGATAAATTAAAAATTTAATCATTTTCAATAAATAAAAAATTAATTTGAATAAATAAAGTGATGTACTATATCATTTTGTTTTCCTTTACAGCTACCTTTTAAACAACAACTGAGCTAAAAGGAAGCTTAATAATTTTTTAAACATTCAATATCAAGATTATTTTATCAAAATAAAAGGATGCTCCTATAGACTCGTACTTTAAATTGCTATAAGATATTTAAGAATAAAGATGTTTACAAAAGCAAATCTCTTATTTCATCTCAATAAAATTCTTAATTTATTTAGATTAGATTTCATCCATCTCATTAAAATTCTAAATTTATTTTGAATTAACCTTTTTATATACTTTTTTTAAAAAAAAAACGATATTCACACTGCCTGAAATAATAAGTTTAATAATAAAATGTAAGGCCCGTTGAAATTTACTATAGAAAAATATATAAAAGATTGTTCTTGGTATATTATTCTTAAGAAAAAATACATATTATGGTAATCAACAGTTCATTATAAATTTAATTTATAGATACGAACTTTTTAAATGCACCAAATATCTCCTTCACACTCTTTTATTTAAATAGACAGACTATCGCTTCTATAAAAACAAGGAAATAACTTTATTCAATAGTTAATAGAGGAAATCGAATTTGCTTAATTGATACTTTAATCTTAATGGTAATAATTTTCTCACTACAAGGATATTGAATATATATCAATTAATATACAAATATAACAGACCTGCAGACACAGCTTAGAACGGGCTGATTCAAAAATAATAAATATAAATTACGCCAATTAATCAGTTGAAAAAATATAATGGAGCGTTTACTCATTTACTGCTCAAATTTTCAATTTCCCGTTGAAACAATTTGCAAAATATAGCAAAAATATTTAAAATAAATAAATTTCAAATATTCCGGGCTGGGCTGTAAATTGATCAATGATAAAAATCTAGAACAACAAAAATTTCAACCTCGACAGTTCTCTGTATCTGATAACCCTTATTTAAACGGTTTATTTATACAAATATTTAACACTTTTCGAGATTCCTATTTAGGAATATTACATCAAATTGATTCCCATTTAAACGGTTTCAACACTATATAAATCTATTTATTTAAACAACCCCAGACGGATTTTAACTTTGGGCGGCGCCATTGGGACAAGGATTCCAATTAGGGATCTGCAAAAGTAGGCCCGGCCCGAAGGCCTATTTTAAAAAGAAATCGGGTTAGGTTTGGGCCGGGCCTAATATTTTTTTAAAAAATTCGGGCCGGATCGGGTCTGACTTTGGATTTTTTTAAATATATCTAAATTTATTAATTTTATGTTAAATTTTTAATGTAAAATAAAAATATTTATCTTATTTATAGAAACTAGATGCAATATAACATATATCATTTACTTTATTTAAATAAATTCGGGCGGGCGGCCGGTAAATTATTTTAAAAAATTCCGGGTTTGGGCCGGGCCAGCATAACTAATAAAAATTTCGGGTCGGGCTTGAAGAATTAGGCCTGATGCAGATCACTAATTCCAATATCCTTAAATATTTATTTTAAAATTAATAGTATTTCCCAATAGGAAGAGGGGGACAATTTGTGTGGAAATGAATTAGGATATTTATGGGCGGCGGCCCAATATATCAGATTATTTTCGAGAAAATCGAATCGGATGATATTGTATATAAATTGATCAGATTTAAAAATAATCATGTATTTATAACAATTGATAAAAATGGGTAATGATATTTAGCGTTGATAATCGTATAGCAATATCTGCTAAACAATGCCAAATTTTATTAAAATGCAATAAGATTTATTTTTATTTTAATATATAATAAGGATCCAGGCGGTAGCTTCCGCTATACTATATACCATAACCCGTAGCACACAACCCCCCCGTTTCCAAAAAAACACCGATCCTTCCTGGATTCGAACCCAGATCATATATGAAACCACTGAGGCCTTAGATGCCCATGACAACATTTTTTTTGTATATTATATGGATAAATTACAAAGCTATCTATTATTATAATAAGCTATAAAAATTTAAAATAAATAGAATATATTTTAAAAAATCTGGGCCGGGCCATGCAAATGGTGCATCTTGTAGTCTGTAGATCTCTGATATTTATATGAATTTTAAAGAAAAATTATCTACTTTCTTTTAACTTAAACCTTATCCTTCTAAAATTTAAGAGAAAAATTTAGAAATTAATTTTAAAATACGCTTTGGAATATTTATTTTATAAGAGAAGATAGTAAAAGAATATTTTCTAATTTATATTTCAAAAGAAAATCCAAAAAGCTTTAAAATTAAAATAAGATTAAAAAGAATTTTTTTTATCTAAATTATAGAAACCTGTCTTGAAAAAATACTTTCAATATCGGATCAGGGAAAAAAATTATGAATCAGACAGTTCTAATTATAAATATATCATTTCAGTTTTTAAAAAATTAATTAAATTAATCACAGAGATAATGGTCTAATTGTATATTTATGAATTCGCTTAGCTCAAAAAGCTGCAATTCAAAATAACGATATATTTTAAGCTTTGTTTCATCCCAATAATTTGACAAATTTGATTTTTTTTACTTTCAAATCAAGAAAATCCCTTTGCTTGATTATGAATAAATTGATCCCAACACTAAGAAATTCGTCTATCAATGTTTTATTTTGTATTAATTCCGTTTGATTCCACAAATTGTAGCCATCTTTCTAAATATAATTTTTAAATAGATTTAAAAATAAAACTAATTTGATAAAATTAATAGTTTGGCTAGCGAATGATAAAATAAACTTTAAAATTTTACCCAATATCTTATATAATATGCAACTAAAAAAATATTTAAATTATTTTCTTTTTTTTTGCAAATCAGTTATTTATATTGGCTAACTTATAAATAAATTTTTTCTTTTTTCAAAATTTGTATTAAGTTAAATGTTAAGAATCTCTGGCTAGTTTAAATATTTGTTTTATAATATTATGCTTCTTTAAGTTTAAACGTACAATTTTTGGTTATAAAAGAAATTGATAATTAATATTTATAAATTTGAATTTTAAATTCATTATCAATGTTAATTATATCTCCTTTAGCATTAGTTTTTCATTTCTTTTTGAATATGAGCCACAAAAATAGAAATACTATCCTTTTTGACAGAAATGTCAGTAACGAAATATTTTTAGTATACTAACTTTAATTAACGTATTTTGAGGGGAAATATGAAAAGTATTTTAAAATAATTAGCGAAATCATTTTTAGAGTAACGCTTGTAATTCAAATATTTTTTTAGTTTATACAAAAATGCGGAAAAAAAATATATATTTAAAATATAAAAATAAATAAATTTGCTATTCGTTTCCTATTTTTAAATTTTGTAAATTAACGAATTTTATTTTATAAACCTTTTTTAATACTTTCGATGACAGATCACGATAAAAATTTTAGTGAATGCATAGATGATGAAGGGGATCATGATAGCCTGACCAAAAAACTTATATAATATAAAAAAATTTTTTCCTAGACGCCAATGATGATGGATCTCAACTTGTCCTTTATCATTAGAGACGTTCAAGTCATATCTTAAGACTGGTAGCAGCACCTAATATATTTTTAAAAAAGTGTTCCAACTCCAACAATCATTCTCCTTGTCCAGAAAATATATTACCAATTGGAAAATTTTTTGCTTTATGGAATTACTCAAGCAGGCCCAAATCATCCAGAATAATGCATAAAGCTATTGGATATAAGTTGGCAATTTCACGCCCTACCAGAAAACAGTCTACCCGATGGGTTATCAAACATGATGTAACATAGATCAAAATTGGGTATAATTTTTGAAAACTAAATCTCTCAAGCTTGAAGGAGCCCGGATTGAAGAGGAATATATAAATTATATCTTCTTTATCAATCGATTTATATAAATTAAAAAAGCATCCATAATATGAATTATGGAAAGTTCCAAATTCATAAGTTGAAAAATCTTTTTTATAATGAAGTAATAACCCTGGGGCTAGTTAATTTTGTTTTATTTATACGTTTTATATTTTAATTATATTATAATTTTAAATTAATGCATTTATAATTGAAATTATTATATATTTGCTTTATTTATGCGTTTATATATTTGAAGTATCTATGTTCTTTTATAATAGAAATAGGTGCGGGCCTACTTTTTTATTTACGACCAGCCCACTCACGGTGGCAATAAAAAAATTCCACTCCCTTTACGCTTAATATTAAAAAAATTTTGACCTGACCTGCCTGCTCACACAAGACAATATTTAGATCACGCCCATCAGGCCCGAAAATTCATGGAGTTTTTAAATTTCTTAAAACTTTCTTGCTATATCTTCACAATTTGTTCTATCATAGTTTTTATTTCTTTAATTTCATATTAATAAATAATTACAATTTATAAATCAAAATTTTTATTTAGAAAAGGAAGAAAGTCCATGTTTTTTTATCCCACTGGGTTCGCCTTTCCTAAAATAACCTTTCACTAGAAGAGAACTTGCCGGGGCCAAAATTTTACTAACTAATTTTCTCAAAAAAGTAAATGAATTTTCCGGCTTCCATACTTCAAAATATTGACATTGTTATTTGTTTTTGAGCGATGAATCTACTTTCATCTTTAGATGTTGATGCTTCATCAGAATTATCTAGAAATTCTCTAAATATTTCATTTAGAATATGCGGTTTTTATGCGTGTAGCATGAATTAGAAAAGTTGCAGTTGATAGTTGACAATGACTTAAGCCTATCATCTAATTTTATATCATTTAGCATTTTTTTTATATCGTCTATTAAAAATTAAAGACTTTATCTAGAATAAGCCTACCTATGTTTTGATTATTATTGTATCACCTTTGACGAAATTTCACTAATATTTGTTTCCATAGATAAACTTCATTTATTATGGGACGATAATCTGCGCTCAGATTACCGAGCATTCTTTGAATATTGATAAAAATTTAAGTGTGTGCATAAGACTGTACAATCAGTGTAAAATATTTATTATTATTGTGGTAAATCATTCAAAATATTTTGTATTAAAGTTAGACCTTTAATATATACTCAAACAATTGAGAGGCAATGGAAAAGCTAAAAATTTAATATCCCAAGAAGAGTTATAGTGAAAAGACAAATTAAAATTTAAATATTTTCTTGTGTAAAGGAAAATTTATTGTTATTTATACATATATTAGATAATTATAATTGATTATTTTAGATTATGTTTAATCTTCCTATAAATTTTAACTGGATATAATTTGAGTGCAAATGATTAGTAAATATATAGTAAAGATAAATCAAAATAAAAAATATTTAAATTAAATTTATTTTTTCCCAAATTTCTACTGCTGAACGAGAGTTGAAAGAAATATTTTTTTTCATTTAATTAAATTTTATAAGACGGGGAAAAAATATTGTTTATAAAATGCGGAGTTTTTTTTTGTTATTAAAAATTATTCTTTTTTCAAAAAGAACTAAATTAAATTTGAAAATATATATTATAATTATATAAATGAAAACTTATATTCATAAAAGGAAAATTTTGTAAATTAAAATTTCTATGATTAACGGGGAGTTTAAGTTCACACCCAATCACGCCCGGCAAAAATTTTGAGAAGGCCCGTCACGCCTAATAATTAAAAATTTATTTACACTCACGTAATGACCCATCGCGTCATGCTTAATTTCACGGCCTGCGCCCACCTCTATTTTATATATATTGCCATTTGAACTTGATTAGTTTTGATCAGAATTGTTAAAAAATCTAGATGCATGTTAGATATAACATAATTATTGTATCTCGTCTAGATATATTTATATTAAAAATATCTCATCTGGATACATTTTAGTTGTAACAGAATCTACTATTAAATACAATTTTATTTTGCGTTTTTAATAATATTATTATACTTTTTTTTGTATTCAAATTTTCTCCGAGTTTATTTCAATACAATTAAAACAAACAAAGGCATTTTGTTTTACATGGATAATCAAAAAATCCAACGATTTAATAATCAATTTTACAATTTATACCTATTAGAGGAAGGATATATTTTGACATACATTACACTGAATTATCTTTCATTAAAAAATGAGTGTCAGAATTTTAATATATTATCTTAATATAAAATGTTATTCATTTATAATGTATGTATTAGAGGTCTGCATTGGGAGGGTTTTTGGACCAAAATCCCGCCCATCCAATGTTTTAAAAAAAATTTAACCCGCTCGCCCCGCCCATTTGTCAAAAATTTCTTACCCGCCCGCCCGCCCATTAATCTTAATTTTTTACCCGCCCCCCATTATTTATAAAAAATTTTAACCCAAGCCTGCTTATAAAATTTAATTATGGTCATTCTTTTAATTTTTAAGCATCTAATAAAAATACTTCAGCATTACACCTCTACAAAAAGTTTATGATTTAGGAAATTAATTTAAGCATAAAAAATATTCAATTTAAATTATGACAATTTATTTGATCAAATAAAATATTTATGAAAAAAATATAAATATAAAATTGATATTATATGTAATTATAATTCAAAAATAATATTGAATCGACATTTTCTGAATTCAAACACGTTCTTCTTTGTTCTAAAAACCTTTCAGCAATGCTAAATCCTCGTTCAGAAGAAGCACTAGTTGCAGGAATTGCCAATATTTTTCTTGCTAATCTTGATAGCTTTGGCAAATCTCTTTCTTATCGTTTCCACCAAAATAGGATATCCGTTTGAAGTATAAAGCAAAAGCAATAATAAATGTAGAAAAAATTCATAACTATTGTATAGACGAAAATTTAAAATACGAACAGACCACAAACCATTAATAAAGACATATGGTAATAAAGAGATTTAAGCACACTAACAAACCAAAGATTATTACATTGGGTTTATAAATTATCTGCATATGATTATGATATAATGTACAAGGTGCTAATAATATAATTGCAGATGCTTTATTGAGAAACCCAATAGAGAAAAATGATGATAGATAACAAGCGAAAATAAAACAGTGAAATATACAAAAAATCTTACTTATGACACATTAACTTTACCAAGAAAAGAACTTAGAGAGGAAATCGCAAAAGATCCAATTTTAAAAAGTAAAAAATATTAATAAATGGTACAAATATACAAAATCAAGCACCAGAATTACAAGCTTTTAGAATAAGAATAGATGAAATAGAAAATGATGACGGTATTTTATTTTGGAATGACAGATTAATCATTCCGCAGTTTCAAAAAAGAATTTTACATATATTATATATGGGACATCCGGGTACTACATTGAAATTTATTAAGAGACATTATATATGGTGGGACAAAAAACTAGTAAACAGCGTAGTGGTTGTCAAAAACAATGCAGAGATATACCAAGTGTTGCCGTATACCAGGGCTGGAAAAGGGAAGAAAAAGAAAAAATAGTAGGAAAACATGCTGACCAACTACGAACAAGGGAAGAACCAGTGGAATCCGAATCAATAAAGCTAGGAGTAAAACAGTAGAAACAATGGAACCAAGTCAAGATTCAACCCTGATATCCAACGAGGGAACGAATGCCAACAAAAAGATTAATAAATGGTACAAATATACAAAATCAAGCACCAGAATTACAAGCTTTTAGAACAAGAATAGATGAAATAGAAAATAATGGGGTATTTTATTTTGGAATGACAGATTAATCATTCCGTACTCACTTCAAAAAA